GTTTGTTTTTTTTTTTTTTGTTTTGTTTTTTTTTTTGGGGGGGGGGTGGGTGGGAATAATGTCTTATTTTCCTGCTGATCTATCCTGCTTCTAAGAACATCAAGCTGGGGAACAGCCAAGGAGGTGATGGAATGAGAGGAGCAGGGAACTGGCAGTGTGTTCCCTCTCTGGGCTGACACCCATGTGCCCTCACAGGAGTGAAGCGAGGACAAAAATACCGAGGGACAGCATAGCTTCCCTGGCTGAAAACAAAGCAAAATGCCTTGGCCAGGGAAGATAAAATTAGGAGGGTCTGGGCTTGATATCAAGCTTGGTGGAGAAACTGAACTCTTTAACCTTTGCATAATGATTGTGTGGTAGATAGTGCATGGAAAAAGTCTTTAACTGACCTTCACTGCAGTTGCTAAGCAAGAGCTGGTTGTCCCCATTTCTGCTCTGTGACTAGCATGTGTAATGGCTTTAAAAAATATATAATAAAAAAAATCCTTGTTTATTATTGCACGTGTCCTGAGGGATCATCAGGGCTTAAGGCCTCTTTCCCTCTTAAAAATTAATTTAAACAACAGTCAGGGAAAGGAAAGGTAAGGACGAACAGCCCAGTCATGTTGGAAATGGCGTTTGCCCACAGGCAGGGGTGTTCAGCGTGCTCTAACATTTTCCTCTGGATGTTAACAATGTTCTGGTTTCCTTTTGAGTTTCTTGGGGATATTTCTGCTCCTGCATCCCACAGCTGAGTCCCAGAAGGCGGTTTGGCTGTGGTCAAGGGTGGCAGGGCATGGCCCTTCTTGACCCTCTTTTGGCTGGAGCCTGTGCCCATCGCAAAGCCAAGAAGCTTGTTTCAGTGAAAGCTGCTTGATTTGCTTTAATATTGATGTGTAAGAAAGAAAAAGTGGCTACTGGCCACTGCAGACTCAAGGGTAGTGTTAAAAATTTAATACTAGCTGCCTCTCTTCCAGGTTTTAACTAGTAATTAAACAATTAGGAATCAGATTAACATAAAGATTGGTTTTGTGGTTAAAGCCTTGGTCAGACATGGAAGAATTAGGGATTTAATTCTTCCTTTTGCCACTGTTGGTTTATCTGTAAGTCATCTCCACTCTGCTAAAATAGGAAGTAATGCTCCTTTTCTGTCTTGTTCAAGGGCTTTACATGCTGCTGGGTGCAGGCTTTTGAGGCAGTTCCTGGTCTGATTTTGGTCTAATTTTGGCTTTTGGGGGTTTGCCTCTGTATACTGGGTATATTGCCACCCTTCTCTGGCGCAGCAGGGACTGAGGTGCTGGTCTCTTTGGGGAGCACTCTGCATCTCAAGTGAAAGAATGATCCTGTGTGCAATGCTGCATAGTAATGTTATTCATAAAATAGCAAGTAAACAAAAAAAAAAAGCTTTCATAAAGCAACAGCTAATTCAGTTCTTGGATGAAGGCCAAGTCCAGTGCAAGCTTGTAAGGAATACCCTGTAGGGCCTGATTTTGGTTGGTCATGTCTGTCCTGTGCACGATGCCATCATAGCTCTTAACAGGAGATAGAGTTTAGATTTGTCTGAAAAAACAAGGGAAAATAAATAAACTGATTAGCTGGGCAGGAATAAGAGCTGTACCTCTGTGACACTCATCTTTCTGGAAAGAGCTGGAGACTTTCATGCTACTTAAGTCCTACTCAAACCGATGCTCTTAGTGATAAAGTGCAACATGAGTGGTCTGTAGGGCTTCAGCTGGCTCCTCACCTCCTCTTTGATTTCCAGGAGCAAGCTGAGGTGAGATGCTCGTGCACATCTGTGAACGGAGGTTATTTCCTCTCTTGCTGGTTACCTGCATGTGTTACAGTTTGTGCAATACCCAGACTGTTATTCTACTTTAATATCTCTTTGACCTAATCCATCATAGCTGCGGAGGTCTAGAGGATCTTCCTTCAAAAGGAAGATGAATTGCATGTTGTGCTTGGAGGCTTACAGCAGCACAGGGAGGCAGGCTGATGCTGGAATCATCCTTTATAAATGAGAAGTGCGGCACCAGGGCACTGGTGATGGGAGGGTTGCTCAGGGGGCTCCGAGCAGGGGCTGGAGGGCTTAGCCTGCTCCCTGCTCATGGCTGGTCACTTCTGGAGGAGGTCCAGCTCCCTTGAATGCCCATTGCCCTGTGTAACTGCTGCCGGAGCTTTGGGCAAGCAGATGCCATATGGCTTGCAAGTGATGCCATTCTGTTAATGTATAGAGCTGGTGAAATCTTCTATTTTCACGTTGCACTTCCTGTCAACACACCGCACAATTTGAGCTATAAGATCATGACAGTGAACAGCATTTAACTCGTCCGGCACTGCGCTTTCCTACGAGATGACCACAACTGGCTCTGGTGTTGGCTGGGGCTCCCTTGCTCTAAAGGAGATGATGTTCACACAGTGTTCGTTATAACAGCAGCCGAGCTTTTCTGATGGTGGATTCTTTTGCAGGGATTTCTGTTCCTGCACACACCTCAGCCCCACCGTGGCCACTCTCTGAGGGATGGTTTATGTGCAGTGCTGCGAGCGAGGATCAAATCCCTCTGCACCAGGCGTGGGGACCCGGCTGATGTCAGGAGTCTGGAATTCACATCCCCTCCCCCTTGCCTTTGCCTTTTTCCCCTCTCCTCCCTAAATAAATGTTGGAGGCAGCTTAAAAGCTGGCTGATTTGAATCTCTTGGAGCACAGGGAGGTAACTGGAAGCAGAGCTGGAGTTTTATTGTAATTTTAGTTGCTTAAACACAACTTGGGCTATGTGTATGCAGATATATTTCTGCAAGAAATAAAACATGGTTAAAGGCAGTGGGAAGATCCAAGTGGCAAGAACAGCTTAGACAAATGTGTGTCATCCATATACTGTCTAACAAGAATAAGAGAGATGAGGAAACATTACAGCTCTCTGCTGCTCAGGCCAGACTCTCTCGACTGGTTTATTATCTGCAGTGTTGACTTGGATTTGCCATATGTTTGTAATCTCTCATTGAGGGCCCAACTTCTCAGGATTGTGGAAACTTTTAAAAACTGCCTAACAATATACATGAATTTTCCATGCAAATATTAGGCAGATCTTCTTAGTAACTAAAACTTTTTATATTGTAAAAGATTTGTTCATGATATTTCTTTCCATTGCTGGGGTGTTTGTGTTCAGTGCATGGTGTGCATGCTGTACACCTTCCCCATGGATGCAGCCAGCTGTACATGGCACATGCCTCGCAAATCCTCTCCCTCTTTCTTCCTCTGGTCTTTCTAGTAATGTGCTTGATCCCAACCTGAGGCTTTTTTTTTTTTTTTTTTTTTTTTTGTTTTTTTTTTTGTTCCCTTGCAAGATTGTTTTTCCTGTATTTTCCTGCCCTTCATAGGGAGATGTGTCCTTTTTTTTTTTTTTTTTTTTGTAGGAACAATGCCATGCACCCTCCTGAATGGAGTTGGGTTGTTTATGATTGTTCTGTAAGATGATAGTAAGCTTTTGCACCCTTGCTCTGCAGCATGGCAAGATACCCCAAGATCCCAATGGAAGCTGGGGCAGCCAGCCCAGGGGGTTAGTCTTGGGTATCATTGTAAATATTAGACTCTCTAATGTGTGGTTGTTCTTGAGGATCTGAATAATACTGCTCTTCAGATAAAATAATGGATCAAGTGGCAAAAAATACTGCTGTGATATATTGTCCATGTAAGGCTAAATGAAACTGTCAGGCATTTGCTCTGAGCACTGGTAGAGGTTTGAGTGGTTCATATTTCTGATAGCACTTTGCCTCACATATCGAGTCAAAATTTAAAATAATTCCTTTTAAGTGTTTAAAGTCAGATCTGGTTATTCCACTTCTGGAGACACCATCTCTCCTGACATGAGCAAGACCAGAGTAGGAAGTTGAGCTGCATCACTTGCATTACTTAATATTCTAGAGACCTGAACATCTTGGCGGTGAACCAGCCCCAGCTGTGCTGGTGTGGGGAGCACTGGGTGTCAGACAAGCTCTCTTCGTTAACTAGTTTAATGTCTGCAGCAGCGAGAGCCTCAGGGGTATGAGCCTAATGGGATGTGGTCAAGGAGTGCTGTTGAGGAAAGGAGCCTTTTGCTTCATGTCATTAGTCAAAATGCCCATGCAGATTTTTTTCCTTTTCCGTGAAGCACATGTTTTGTTGGCAGTCCAGCTGCACGCTTGTATGCACTGGTGGTGGTGCAGAAATCCCAGTGTCATGGAGGGGGGGAATAACTGGCAGAGAGGGGGAATTATTTGATAGAACGTGTGTGGGCTTGGGCTGAGTCAGAGGAAACGCTTGGCTGTCTGTGGTGGAGTTGTGCTGGCTCTGTGTTCTGTGTCGTTTTGCTTTGCCCCGGGCAGGATTAGACACTGAGCACAAACCCTGTCAGGGTCTGGGGGACCTACTGACAGCACCCAGGCACCGTGCTGGGGTGCTGCTCTGCCACAGCTTGTATAACCTTAAAGCATGGCTGTGGGCTTACCTGTTAGCCCAGCTACTGTGAATTTACATGCAATTGTTTTGCATAGGGGAGCAGGGGGTGTAATCCTTCAGGGAGGCTTGCTCTGGTATTTGCTTACAAATAATTTTTTGGATCAACCAACTTGAAAAAGAATGGAAATGTTTGCATCGGTGTGATGGCAACTTCTTGATTTAAAGCCTTTCTCTCAGATCATGAATTTTCTGTTTAATGCTTATTAATCTTCAGGATGTACTTGAATGATGGAGATTGGGTGAAGACATCCAGAAAATAAAACTACTGCAGCTAATAAAATAGTACATTCTCCCTTCTGCCCTAGTGCAGACAGCTGATCAACTGTTCCTCTCTGTATTGGATTAGTGCCTCTGACCAGCAGTATGGAATCCTAGCTTTGAAGCTGGTATTAATGTTGTATTTGCAGATGTATTGAAAACATATTTCATCTGGTTTTAAAATTGTGATGATACAGGCTAATACTGATTTGGGTCTGAACAAGTGCCAGTCCTGTTGCCTACTAATTCCTTTCTTCTTTTCATTTTACAGCTGAACCTGCAGACCTCTTGAAGGTATTAGATTTTCATAATTTACCTGATGGTATAACAAAAACAACAGGGTTTTGCACAAGCAGAAGATCTTCAAAAGAAGCAGATGTTGCTTATAGAGTAACAAAAGATGCTCAGCTCAGTGCACCGACAAAGCAGCTATATCCTGGTGAGTGCACAGCTTATTATTTGTTATATGGAAATACCTGATCCTTTTCTCCAGATTCTGCAGGCACATAAAGGGCACTGCATAATTCCTTAATTTTCCAAGTGTGGTTGTATGCTCCCTTGGCAGGGAGCGATTCTGCTGTTTCAGGGGGCTGCAAACTTTCAACCATCAAATAACGTTGCAGTAAGTTGTTCTTTTTATCACTGCACTTGCACATGGTGGTGGGTTTCACTGCAGAAGATGTGGCCAGTGCCTACATCTGTTCCCTCCTATGTTAGAAAGTTTGTCTCATTATCACACAGTGACATCCAGCTGGGGAGAGAGACTTGGAAGATGCAAAGGAACGCAGACTGTGTTTTGTTCTGCATTTGTGGAGTGCCAAGCACAGTAGGGTCTTATTCTGTGGCTGTGGTGTCTCTCAAAACACAAATAATCACCGTACAAAAATAATACTGCCCCACAAGAACAGATGTCCCAAGGAAAGTTGTTTGAAGAAATTGGAGGTTCGTTGGAAAAAGACACTAAGGCATGGAGTTCACAAAGCCCTTGAAGAGCATGTGGGCTACTGACCATTTGTCACTGAGGGTGCACTGGAGTTAAATTTTTCAGGCCACGGAACAATCACTACTGTAGAGTAAAATGTGCTTGTAAAAAGACTGGACACATTATGGACCCAAATTACTCACTGCCTGAGAGCTTCAGTCTTGAACCCATAGTCACCATCAGAAGTCTTACTTCCAAAGCTGTACAGGAGCACTGCTGTATCTCTATTTTACATGGGAGGGTGCAGTGATGCTGGGAGTAGGCATGGTGGGACTTTCTAGGTTTGGTGAGAAAAGTGCCTTTGAGGGAGGTTTAACAATGAGGCCGAAAGACGCGGCATGCAGTTTGTCTGTGAAGCAGGAGATGGCTTAAGCAAAGCAGACAGACACGCACGTTTTCCTTTGGTGTTTGTGAGAATTAATGATACAGTAATGCATTAGCTAAATCGGAGGTAATGTGGCATGCCACTACCAGTGCTTTTTAATTAACATGCTGTTTCTATCAGACCAAGCCTGTCAATGGCCTAAATGAGGACTTCAAGGCTGGACTGCTGATGTGTGTTTGCATCCTCTAGTCCTGTATTTCCTTCATTTTATATGTTATCACTAAGGTGATTTTCAGACTTCATTATTATCCAGCTCTGATGATAAGTAGGTGAATTATATTTAATCTGTGGTGAGCAGGAGCATGCCCTGTGTCTTGCATATGAACTGAGAGCCTGACATGAAGATGAGAGCAGCTGTGCCTGGGCTGTGGGCTGGTAGCCCTCCATCACACAGTCAACCCATAGTGAAGAAGCTGCTCAGGTTTGCCTAGAGCCCTGCTTCAATGGCTGCAGAAGTTGAGAAAAGACCTAATATTTGTCTTCATTGCTGCCCAGGGCAAGACAGTCCTTAAGACAGTCCTTTCTGACTGTACATAATATCATGTGTCCAACTGCACCCTTCTGCCAGGTTGTGCCTTCATGTCACGGGATTGTGCCTGTGGATAGGGGGAATAGCCATCCCAGGGACAGACTGCAGTGGCCCTCAAGTCCATCCATCCGTCCCAAGGCAAGATCAGCTCAACTTAACCAGTGTGTGGTTTAACCACTTTCAAGTACCCTCTTTCCATGGATCTGAAATCTGTCATCGTTCTGTGAAATGCCTGAAATCATATCTATGCAATGACTCGAAGTTGTGGCCCAGCTCATATCTTCAGAAGTGCTTGAAGGAAATGGTTCCAGTTTGGAATATACAACTGTAGTGGATTTGAGAGCTTTCTAATAGTAGCTGTAACCACTGTGAAATCTTGCCTGATGGGCTTTGTGTTATGGAAACCAGCAGACGGTGGTGTCCCCAAGATATCAAAACAAGGATGGAGTATTCTGGCTAATGAATGTAGAATGGAGACTGTATGACACCACTTATGACAAGGGTTAGTTGACACAGCAAGACAGCATGCGGAACTGAATCGTGGTCACAGAAGAGAACCTGGTGTTGTAGGAGATTTTTATTGCTTTTGTTCTACCTTACTACTTGTATGTCCTCACTGAGTTCTTGGTTTGCATTGACTGACTTCTTTGGGTGGGAAGATCTGGATGGTGTTTCCTTGGGTGTCATCAAGCAACTTTTCAATCGTTTCATTATCTGGACAACCAAGGGGTGATTAAATCAGCTCTGTCCCTCTCCAGAGACTTCTAAAGTCATCGAGTCTTCTCTGCTGCTCACTAAAGAAATGGGATGAGTGAAGTGAAGAACACCTAGTGTTTTCCATTGGATCAACAGATGTTTTCTTATGTTTATCTCCATAACTAGATGTGACTTCAACTCACACCACCAAATGAATGAGAGAGGAGATAAGGATAACAAAGTAATTGCAGTGCAATGTACCAGGGGAAATGTGGTTTTAGTGATTTCATGTTAACAGGCGGGTGGGTTGTAGCATAACTTTCCCTCTCTTCTATAGAGCACCCTAGGCAAATGTACACTGCACATAATATTTTGTGCTAATTAGAAGTTGATGCTTTTCTAAGATGGTAATTTTATGGGCTTTGCATTCTGCTTCCACAGCCAGCAAAGCAAGATAGATAGATATATATATATATATATATATATATATGTGTGTATAAGTGTGCTTGTCTGTTTTTTCAAGCCCACAAGGGTGAGAAAATCTGCTGAGATGCTCTTTGTCCTTGCTCCCTAAATAAGTTCTTCTTCCCAGCAAAAACAGTGCTCTTCCAGCAGAGGCAAGAAAGGCAAAGTTTTCAGTGGCAGCCAGCAAAATGTCATTTGCATTCTTCTAGCAGACTCTATTCTCCACACTGCTTGTGGGTGTCTGCATATATCTATATATTTAAGAGCTCAAAAATCTCTATTATAGCTTGAACAGTCATCTCTGAAAACAAGCCATTTCAAAATTCAGTCTTCTCAGTTGAAGGAAAAGGCCAGAAGTTGGTGACACTGTTGAAGAGCTGTTTCCCTTTGAAAAGTGGCTCTGGAAATGACACCATCTCACACAACAGATCTGCTTTGTGTTTGTGTCAGGAACTGGATTGGCTCATTTGTTTTTGCTTAATTTTTTATTTTTTTTTTTTTTTTTTTTTTTTTGCTATTAAGCAGCTAAAGCTTTCGTCTCCTTCCCAGATCAGCAGCAGGGCTCTTCATTTTAGGCTGTGCTTGGATACACCTGCAGAAGCTGGGTTAGGAGGAAGGTCCCAGCTGTCCCTATTTTGAAGACCATGAGATTGTACAAAAGCCTTTAATTCCTGCTCATGGTGCTTAGGAAAGAAGAAACTTGTCCTGACTCTTCTGGTTTGTGTGTTGGGGCATACCACAGATGCAGTCTGCTCAAGTGAAGCTAATGACATCGACATGGGGTGGAGGGACCTGTGCCCACCCTGGACCTGCTCAGCTCTTTCCATGGCTCCATCATTTTGCAGAATTGGAGCCTTAACCCTTTGTTACTTTGCAAGAGGTTCCATGTAGTGAATATGAAAGTATTTGGCCATGGGGTAAAAGAGATGCTGAACCAAATTCAGGATTGGTAGAGTGCTGTTAAGTGGAGAGGTGGATGTGCAACATCTGTGTGAACTCATTCAAAATGAATCAAATATAAGGGCTTAATCCCAAACTCATTGTTTGGGGGTGTCTTCATCATCTTTAAGGGGATTTGGGTCAATTTCTATGTGCTTCCTATATTATGATGTATTAGTATTGCTGTCTGTGTGGATGTGTTTTCATACATCATTCAATAGCCTGGGTCATTTCAAGCTATGACAGTGAAGGCATTGTTATTTTGCCAGGACAGCAGAGCAGTAACAGAGTAATGTCAGCTATAATTCACCCATTATGGTTATTTGGGTTGAAAAACTTGCATCGCCATGGAGACATTTTAATAATAATGAAAAAAAAAAATTAAAAGCAGCTTCTTAATGAGTTGGCAGCTTCTCCAAGTTGAAAGGTACTGTATTGTGGATTCATAATGAAATTTTGGACATGAACTATTTTACATAAAAGGCCCAAAACTGTAGCCTGTAATTGGAACCAGGAAGGCGTATGGTCTTGATTCAGCTCTATAGGAGGATTTGTATACAGCAGGAGGGAGATAAAGCTCGGTGCATCCTATGGGAGGCACAATAATCGTCTGCCATTTGCCAAGTATCTGGGTCTGTGTCCTAGGGGGAAATCAAGCTATAATCATGGTATTTAATTACTGACTGCAAGTCCTCTATTCAGGATACTGCTTTATGCTTATTTCCAAATGTTATTTAACTAAGGTGAGGGATATTAACTTGGTGCAAACAGTGTGTGTCTCTGTAGGTATCCTCAGATATCTCTCTTGGTGTCCTCTGTTTGCACAAGCTATTTGTAGCAGCTCTGGTTATTGATGCAGCCCAGCCTGATCATCCCTCCTGTCTCCTCCACCCTTCCAGTGGTGTAGCCCTATGCTAGGCAGCTAGATGCGTTTAAAACACTGGGTTTGTTAATAAAAGTTAAAGCAACACCCAGGCAGAAGAGAGGGTGAGCTCACGGCCTCTTTGCCTTTGAACTTGCTAGCTTTGTGGTTGGAAGAATTCCCCACTCCCATGTTCCTGGTCCCCTCCCTGGGTCAAAATCCCTTATGTAGCCCTGGGATGCCATCTAAGAAAAGCCTAAAGGGATGAAGAAAGTCTGTTTGAAGCTCATGGATGCTGAGCTTGACTTTTTTTTTTGTTTTTTTTTTTTTTTTTGTTTTTTTTTTTGTGGTTTTATATGGCTATGCATCTGTAGTTTAAAAATGAGCCATTGTGGTGTTCCCTTCCCTGCCCGCTGCCACACATGTAGATAGTCCCAGCACACACATCGCGGTGCCCATGGCGGGGCTGCCCCACTTTACTCTGCCCTGCTGTGGTTTAAGATTTCCCAAGCAGATACCCGGTGGTACAATGCAATCCTTGTTTTTGAAAGCTTGGACCTTAGAGGAAAGATACCCTTCAGGTCTCATGCTGCTGAAACGCAGCATCTGAGGAGGTTATGCCCTTTAGGCACCCTGTGTTTCAATGGGTACCGTCTCCAATAATAATTTGGTCAAGAAATCTCCTTTACTAATGCTTCTGGTGGTGTTAAGATGTCTTGTTTGGGATGTGCAATCCAGGCTTTTCAGTTTGGGCTCGCCTTTCCAGTCTGAATGGCAGAGAAAACCCAGACAGAGGAGCTGTATCCTGCACAGGGTGTGTCTTGATGCCCATATTGACTTGAAATGTCTTTGTCTGGCATTACTGGGCATTGACCCTTCCCCTGCGCAAAGCATTGCCTCCATACTGACAGTACCTGCTTCATTATTTAGTGGCTTTAATCCTCTAAACATTGCAAAGGTACAGGCAGGAATTATCTGAGATCAGAGTTTCTTTCCTGAGTGGATAAAAAGTTAGGAAATTTGTTAGATGCTTTTTAATATGCAGATGAACTAGCATCTCCTAGTGATTGCCAGATTTATTTCTGTTTTAGGATTACTTTTTTTGTCTGCACTAACCCTGAAAGCCAAAGCCACAAAATGCTCTGTTCTTGTCTGGAATAGACAAAACCTGATGCAACTTCCCTACTCCCTTAAATAAAACCCTTCAATATTGTGTGTGCCTAACTGGCACGGGATGCTTCATTTCCTCTGTCCCTCTGACATCTTAAGTTAATTTGGGGACCTCATGACACATGAAACAAAGTTTGGTTTTTTTTTTTTTTTTTGCCTTGTCTCCTAAAAAGCTATAGAGTACACTAAGGAAGTGTTAGATGCAAATAATACAGAATTAAACCAACAGCTTTCTTAAAACCTCTGTTTCCCCAGCACTACGGTCTCATCCCCAAACAGCAGACCCCTTGCCATCCTTTTGTTTGCAAGTTCAAATGTGGGGTGGCTTTTGGCTCTGTGACAGATTGCAGTAAGAGCTGGAAAAAGGCTTTCTGATCATAAAGGAACGATCCTTAGAGATGCTCAGTTCTGCACGTGGATTTTTAATGTGCCATTAGAGCAGGTAGCCCTTGGGGGACGCAGCTCTACGCTGGCTTTGCTGGCGCATTCCACTCTGAGGTGCAGCAAATCCCAACCCTGTATTGCAATAGGTCTTTGGGGAAAGCCAGATCCTTACCCGGCAACCAAGATGCTGCCCTATATAAATTTCCAGGGTTGCTGATGTGCACACATCTGGAGGGATAAACCAGAAGTCTCCCCGTGGGTTACTAGACAACAGGACTGTTTCTGTAGGGATTAATTTTCAAGGAAACCTGACTAACCTCTTTGCTTTTCCACTCCAGCTTCCCCATTCCCAGAGGACTTCTCCATTCTAACCACTGTAAAAGCGAAGAAAGGAGGTCAGTCCTTCTTGATCTCAATTTACAATGAGCAAGGGATCCAGCAAATTGGTGTGGAGATGGGTAGATCTCCTGTATTCCTGTATGAAGACCATACAGGAAAGCCAGGCCCAGAAGACTATCCTCTCTTTAGAGGCATTAACCTAGCAGATGGCAAGTAAGTGAAATTTTGTGCGCAAAGGAAAAAACAGTACATTGTTTATATCAATATCAGCATGTTGAACATTGTATAAAATAGGAGTCATGTATATATAGATGTATATACACACCTTTGACTACTGCCAAGTGTCCTGTTCTTGAACTTTGCCCTTTGGTGAATAAATATTGCATATATAAAAAGTCTGAATCACCAGTCAGTGCAAATTGTCTGACCCTTATGGGGATAGGAACGCTGACTTTTGCTGCAAAGGGCCTAAAGAAATCAGTTTGTCTTGCAAAATCTACTCTGAATCTTTTACAGGACATAAGAGGGTGGAAAGGGGGGATAGCCAGGGAGTTATTGGTGTGGACTTTTTCCCTCTGCCTCTTGTTGAAGCCAGAACTGTCACTCCTACTTGTTTTGGAGGGATGAGAAGTGAATGGCATCATCTGTCAATTCAGCCTTTCTATTTCAAATGAAATCTTTAGGGTCTGCCCAAGGATGATTTTCATGTGTTTGCAGATGATGGATGGCATGAAGGTTTGCAGAACACCAGTTTGAAAGCTTCATTGCTATACAATTGCTAGCTGCTTCTTGAAAGCCCAAGGCTCTGTTTAACACATTTGTGGACTGTGTCCTTCTAGGTGGCACCGAATAGCTATCAGTGTGCAGAAGAAAAATGTCACCTTGATTTTGGACTGTAAAAAGAAGATAACCAAGTTCTTGGACCGAAGTGACCATCCCATCATTGACGTCAACGGCATCATTGTATTTGGAACAAGGATATTGGATGAGGAAGTCTTTGAGGTAAGTCATGACAATGAGCAGCTCTGGAGATACTCCACAGAGATGATGAGCTGGGTTTTTGAAACTTTTAATGGATTTTTTCATAATAGAACACTGTTGTATGTAACTTTTTAAAAATGTTTTTGTTTCGAATAGTTAAATACTTTCTGTAGCAATGATGAAAACAATCGGCCAGATGACCTGCTGGAGAGAGTTCCTTTGGTTCTCTGGTTTCATGTCCTTGCTGAGATTGTAGACCAGCCCCTGCACTGGGATTTTGGAGCTCTGTAGCTCTTGTGCTCTCAGCTCATTTAACATAGGAAGGGCTCATATGCTTTTCATTCATCACTGTGTTATGATTTAAAGTTGCAGGGGCAGTAAATGAAGGCTGAGGAAAGCAGCTCCCCTGCAAGTCCCAGCTTGCTTTGGATCTGTAAGAATTTGTTCTTCTCCCATGCATTGGCCTTTGATTTTTGGTTTCTTGTACCATGACATAAGGGGACTCTCCTCGACAGCTTGTTTGGCAGCCATGTCACCTCCCACACAGCGACTGCTTTTAAAAAGCAAACCAAAATCATGATGGATGGAATGTTCCCATGAGCTCCTCTGCTTTAAGCAAAGAGATAGAGAATTATTTATAGACAAGGTACATATGGTAGAAGTTCTTCCCATAGTTCAGCAGCTAGTTTAATATATGCATTTCACTAGCAATCTCAACTTCTGTGATCTGCTACACTTCTGAGGCTTTCATGTGTATGAGAATCTTGACCCTGATCTTTCTTGCAAGCTAGAATTGCTTGTCTGAAATCAGCGCCAGTGTAAACTAAGACCTATTGATCTCTATCTCCTTACTTTTATTGCGTTTATGTGGAGGAAGAACTGTATCTCATGGGCCTCCCCATCCAAGCAAAGGGATATGGGGAACATCTATCTGTGGATAATCAGAGCTGTAGCGAAGCCAGCTCTCATCTGCATTTCGTTGTCACTCGGAAGGAAAGTTCCAGTCTCTAACATTGCCAACATCTGGGAGCCGGTCTGCTGTAAACAGAGCAAGAACGCATGGACTGAATGTTGCTGCCAAAATCCCAGTTACAGAGTTAGAGTTCGACCTCTAAATTGTATTAAATTAATAGACATTCCCTGGGAAGTTTAACAATTAAAATGGAAAGTAAAATCTGGGTTTAATGGGCACTGGAGTGTCTTTCACAAGTGTTGGACGTTCTGCCAAAAATTTCAGCAGTCGCACTGGATGCTGTATCTTAAGTGGAGTTGTTATATGAAGTGAGCTTTTCTGGCGAGCTGCTGGATCCAGGGATCTAGTAGATCCACTTAAAGAACTTGGTATCACATCCAAACTGGCCGAGAAACCTGCATTTGGCAAAGTAACACGGTTTCCATAACTGCCCCTGAAGCTTGAGATTATTCCCAGTTGGTTTTTAGTGCTCACCTGGATTTAGGGCTGGTTCCTCTGCCAGACAAAGAAACACACATTTATGGGTGGCAGTGCTCCCCCAGCTCCACCGTGAGCCCTTCCCACGGGGCTGGCCACAGCTCCCTCACTGAAAAGGACTTAGCGAGGGGTACAAGCTCTGAGGGCTTGCGAGACCTCCTCGATCTTGGGAGGTGGGGTAAAACAGAGCAAGTGTTCCCCTCGGCTGGAGCCTGGTGCCTGCTCTGGGTACAAGATGCAGCTACACGATCATTGCAGGCACTTACTGAGAACTGGACAATTAGCAAGTATTTTTTTTGCAGTCTTATGTATACTAATTTTATACAGCATACATATAAAAAAACTTTCTAGAGCTGGCATTTGTCATCCTCATCAGACAAAGAGGGTTTTCAGCTTATCCACACACTCATCAAGATACCAGCAGCTTTAAACTAAATGGAGTTAATAGGTTTCTTGAAAGCAGTGGACTGTAACCTAATTTCCTTAGTATCTCAGGAACTTAATTTCCTTTGGCCCCTTTGCTCTTCTTTCTGCAAGCCTAAGCAGAAACTGTATAGGGAAGGTTGTGGCTCAGAACAATCGAAAATTGGTGTAAAACTGTTAAATTCTGTGTTCCTGGAAAGCTGATAATTTCTGGACTGAATGCAGAATGATGAGATGAAGCTGCTACTGTCCTGTGGGCAACTTCCCTGCAAACTTCAACTAGCATGATGTTCCCCAGTGTTTTCTGCCCCGTGGAGTTGCCTGGCTCTTACATGTATGTCACTTTTGCTGGAAATTAAAATAACCTAATTAGCTGGGAGTGGGATGGGTGGCAATGCTGGGCAGGGCTTAAGCTGCGTCTCAGCATGAAACAGCAAGAGCTGTAAGTAGTGGGCATTCATATCCTCCTTGTCAGGACTGAAATAAAATAAAACACCAAACACATTTTGTTTTGAAAGTTGTAATTATTTAAGCTCCAGGTCTAGCTGGGGTTGCAGGCGGAGCAGTTCTGCTGTATTTGTCGATCAAGCGCCCAGATGGGTAGAAAAAGCCTGGTAGGAAAGGTTAGAGGAGTTTCAAAACATTTCTCTAGCACAACATTCTTCCAGTGGAAAAATTACTTCCTCTCATTAAAATTCAATTAGTTCGGAGGCTGTGTGGATCTCTCTGTATGGTGGGGGAATGCTGGGAAGCTTTGAAAAGGGGCCAAGCCTGGAGCCCAGGTTATACAAGTTAAGTTTTGTGCTGAGCTGTTGTTCAAAACAGAAGTTTACAAATGTCAGGACAGGTTCTCGCACCAGGGTTGGGAAGTGGCGGCCGGCTTCACGCTGGGACTGAGGATGCTGTTGTGAGACAGCAAAGGGCTTTTTGCAGCCAGAGAAGGAAAGAGAAAAGAACTAGCCCATGGTGTGGGATAAACACTTTCTCTCTGCTTGCAGGCTGTAGTAAGCAGTGTTCCTGTGGATACAGCAGCGCTGGAAGGAAGTCGGGAGACATGTGAATTTATCTCATTTTTAGAGGGATTAACTGTTTCTTTTGATGTGCTTTCTTTAAACATGCACTGGAAACCAACTCCTAGTGCAGTCTAATGGCTAAGCGTAAGAATTAAAAGAGGATGAAGTTTGGGAAAGTCACTTTCCCAGAGCGTAAAGCATCTTCTGCTCAAAAGCCAGGGAGCCTTTCCAGAACATCCTGGTGATGTGGTGCCTCTGCTCTGTGGTGATACACAGCCAGAGCTGCCTCTTCCATGCCTGTGGTCTATTGTGGAAGTCACTTTTTGGTGCAGGATCCCATCAGTTCTTGCATGGAGAAGAAGCTGGAAGTGTGACCCCATCTCTGCTGGCAGCAGCGTGTTGATCCCAGGGGTGACCTGTCAGCCCTCAATCCCTTGGTAGCCTGTGCTGGTATAATTGTTGCGAATAAGCTGAGCGCTTGTCAGGCCAATGCTTTGCTCACTTGAGGGTTTACTTGGCTGTTATACATACTCTTCTGCTGCACATTGTACTCATCAACCGTGGCTGTGGGCTATTTGGGTGCTTTGTGGCACTTCATCATTCCAAGACTGTCCTTGGAAGATGCTCATGCCAAGAAATTTCTGCTCTGTGCCCAACTCATTGTTGGGTTCAGAGGACAGCACCTATCTCCCTGGGGCTCCTTCCCTCAGGGTGAGCAGTCAGGCTCAAATAGGGTTCCTCCTGCACCAAAAGCCTGGCGAGGCTTTGACATGTTTAGCCATAACGACGTGCGGTTCAGTCCATTTGATCACCGTGTCCTGGGACCACGCAGATCGCACCTCCCCGTGGGTTGGCCTTTCCAACCTGCTGTTTGCCGTGCTGGTCTGGTGGAAAAGCGGTGCAGCTGGCTCTGGGCTGAAGTTGTTCTGGTTTAGCAGATGTGGGTTGAAACGGAGTTCAGATCCTGGCTTAGCAAGGTTGCTGGTGCCGTGTTTCAGTCCTAGAAGTGGCTGTATTACAGCAGTGAACAGAGAAATCCCATAACCCACAGCTGGAGGATCTTTATGCATGGAAAGTGCTGCAGAATGTTTGTGGCAGGGAAGCGTTAGTGTGCGTGGACTGGATTAGGTGATTTTAACCCCTTTGCAATAGTGTTCTGAAGCATCTTATGTAATGCCATAGAAAGACATTTGGTTTCTGCAGTAGTGTGTGGCCCAGCCCTGTTTTGCTGCTCAGTGTTACTCTGTAGACCAGCACTTCACAGCAATGGGCAGACGAACAAAATAAAATTTGTTTCAGACCTTGCCAAAGTCCCAGATACTGGTGTATTTCTTCTGGATATCTCATTTTGTCTTTTGATCTGTTAGGAAGAGACTATTGTGTGAGGCTGCTGTGCTGCTTAAAAGTACTGTACAGCACCTGGCTGGCAGAGCTAGCATTGGCATAGTTAGAATTGTAGGGTGGCCATGGGTAAAAAAAAAATGCGTAGGCTTTGGTAAAACTGCTGAGGATACCTTAGTAATAAGTGAGTACATTTAATGCAAATTATTTTTGGTTCACCTGTTTAAAATTTTGCAGGATTGTCCCGTAAGGTAACTGGTGTTTTGACTCTCTGGAAATAATGTTGGTTTGCAGTAGTGTCTGGTATTGGTGTGGATGAAATTAGTTTTCCCATAAGTGGAAAAGCTCCGTGCATGTGTATATTGCTTTTTAAGGTTTATGTCTTATACTGTTGGCTCCTCTGGAGGCAAGAGGAGCCTATTTTGTCCAGCTGAGTATTGTAACTGTGTCTCATTGGTCTAGTTGGTACTATAAAACCGAGTGATTTCCTCTGATCCTGCCAAACAAGGTGCAAATTGAGAGGGTCTCGGACACCTGCGGACACTGTTCTGCCAACGCAGTGAAACCGTAAGGGGCTGACGAAGTATTTGCTCTTAGCCTATGCCAGAGCTTGTCCTGGGATGAGAGATGTTGTGCTGCCTGGGTTTGGATGATGCTGAAAGGATAGTGCTTTTTATTTTCTTTCCTCCTTTGTGTTTTTGAAGACCACTAGTGAAATCAAGACATCAGAAATGAAGGGAAAGCAATTTGTGCTGGGGCGAGCCAGAAAGGCCGGGCACCGTGCCAGAGGTGCT